GACGCCACCAAAATTCAAACTTGATCTGTGTTTTGTGGTAATAAGCATTGTGTATAAGTTTCATAACATTTGGTTTAGGCAAACTTAAGTTAGAGAATGGAAACTAAACATTTTGGGACGTACGGACGGATGTACGTACGTACGTATGTACGTACAGACGGACAAGGGTAAAACTTAATGCCCCCACCGCTACGGCAAGGGCATAATAAAATTTAGAATGGAAATGGGGAATATGTCAAAGTTACAATAACCCCACCAAAGAGCAGATAACAGCCGAAGGCCACCAATGGGTCTTCCATGCAGCGAGAAAATCCCGCACTCAGAGGTGGGCCTCAGCTGGTCCCTAATGGGGCTGAATAGTAAAATCTGTGTTTTAAATTAATATTCCCAAAGAGATGAACATAGATATGTTCTCCCTCAAACACACACTCCATGAAAACATGCTTCTATTCAACACTTTTACTGGAAATTTACTTTCGTTTTAATTCATTCATAATTTCATTGTCATAAATCCCGAGCAATACCAAAATAATTATGATCACTTACACTAAAGTTGATAAACACAGAGAATATCGAAATCTATATACATCAGCACTTTTACCTTTTTGAGCAAAAGACGATTTCAACAAGGACACAGATCAAATATTTGACTGATGATGTAACGATCTATTTTTAGAACGGACAGACAAGGGTTAAACTTAATGCCTCCTCCACTACGACGGGGGCATAAAAATAAAGGGAGGTTATTTCAATAGATATAAAGCAGTCAACAAAGTTTAATACTGTTCAAAGCATTTTTGAATTATTATCCGCAAACTGGGAAATCCCCCCTTTTTTATGAATAAAATCCCATAACTCTGAAACCTAAAACCTTAAATTTATAAAATCGAAAGGGAGCTTGCATCAATAGATATAAACAATTAACCAAAGTTTCATGACAAATGACAACTGCTTAAAGCATTTTTAGAGTTAAAGGACCGAAAACATGAAACTCCCCCTTTTTTAATGAATAAAACCCCATAACTCAATAATGTAAAGTCTAAAATTCCTTAAAATCTATAGGGAGCTCACGTCAATAGATATTATCAATTCACCAGAGTTTCATGCAAATTGGTGAAAGCGTTACTGAGTTAGTGAACAACATGCTGGCAACAGACAGATCAGGTCAGACAGACGGACAAAGGTATACCATAATATGTCTCATGAACAGGCGTATAAAAACTGCAGGTGCCATACCACGTCAAAACCCTCCGAAGGAAACACTATAAGGGAGCTTCTATTAGATTTTTATGACTTGTTTTTACATAAATTGTCAACCTGACTTTTTTTTTGTGGCAAAGTGTCTCATCCTGCCATTTTTTTTACTCGAAACTCTTGTCCTGCCTTTTTTTCAAATTTCATCCTAGCCCCCCCTCCCCCCCCCCCCCCCCCCCCCCCTTAAAATTCAAATGGTTGCTCCCTAAGTAAGCAAACAAATGATTTTTTCTGAATAAACTTGAAGCAGTATCGAGTCCATATAAAGTACATGTCCATTGAACTTAAAAATATGTGGTCATTGTCAAAGTTAGTTTTGACAGCTATCAGTTATATTAAATTTACAGTTTACTTTTCCGTTGCTTTCAATTTAAGATTAGAGTAGTTGTCATTGCCATTGAGTTTTTTAGTCTAGATTACTCTGACCTCCAAGGGCTGTTTTAACAGACAAACTGGAGCCGTGAAACGTCAGAGCTTGTCCGATATCAAAAAGTGGATATTTGCCCGTCCAAAATGGATGCACTGCTTCATTGCTTCTGGAGCTGACTGGATCCATGTAAATCGGGCCTCAATTTGTTCATTTTTCATTTATCTCTTCATTTATGTAAGTTTCATCTACCTGCCATACTTTATTTTATCATATTTGGACAGTCTTCACAGTGACCTATCGTTTCTGGCATTTTAACTTTCACTTTGAAAGATTGTCATGTGACCAACGAGAAAAAGTAATTTACAATGCATTATGGGAGCTGATTTATGCAAATGACCCTGGGTCAATATGAATACGTAATCTAACACCTCATTCATTTACGATGCAAATAAGCTGAATGGCCAAGTGTGTTCCGATTGTTATCATGGTTGGCTACTAAATGTTAAATGCAGAAAGTAGCATACTTGACAGTCTCGAGGCCGCGTAGTCTCTCGTACTCTCGCGTCCATTTGAAAATAATAGTTAAAATGTCGGAATCGCAAAACAGCCGTTGGACATCAGAGCTAGAGTTTGAGGGGGGGGGGGGGGGGGGGGGGGGGGTGTTCAAGGGAAGCAAATTCTTTTTATATTATGCGTGTTCCAAAAATTGAGAAAAAAATACAGAAAGAGTTGAGTAATTTTTCACAGACTTAGTTTATTAATCTTAAAGACTTACCTTCTAATTCTATAAAAAAAAAATCACAATTAACTACTGGACAGGAACACCAACACTAGTATGGTACAATGGAACTATGACTTCTGATCTGCAACACCTACTAACAGACACAGAAATATCATCAAATAGTGAAATATAAGATTGATTGCACCTTGTATGGATAATTCCGACAGGTGTTACATGAGAGTCCGTTAGTTTACAAATAATAATGTCACGTGATCACGCACTGACGTCACAAACTTTTATCGTCCGCCATTATTGTTATTACACAATTCACAAATACATAACCCACTTATCTTGCAGAAATGCACGATTAACAAAAAATACAAAAATATTGCATGCATGTACAGTTAATGAAGAAGTTATTTCATCAAATTGATCAGATTTTCACTCATGACACAAATCGACTGGGTTGACATTTCTGTCATCGGGGATAATTGATAAATGGGATAAATTGACCGTCAAGAAGGTCTAGAGAACCACATCTGGAGAACCTTAACAATAATGAGTAATACTTACCAAAATTGCTGATACTAAACGCTATTTTCTATTGGAAATGTCAAAAAGATGATGATAAAATAATTTAATGATGCAGGTTATATTTTCTTGTTTTGGCGCGAAATATTCTTACTCCTATTGCTCGACGTTACAAAATTTTTATAGAATTAAATTCAACTTTAGCTCAGCGTAAATAAAAGTAAATATGCAGAAGCATGAAAATACATTAATGATAAAATGTGTATATATTTCTGTAAAAGAATAGAATTTTACTTTACCAGTATACTTCACTTAGAATTACATTTGAGCGCAAGAAAATCTCTGTTTGTGAATCGGTTGAATCCAGGGGTCGAAGTTCAACATATAAACGGAAATTTTTGTGTGTGCTTTACATCGAAGCTTGCGTTGGTTTACCTCGAGGCCCGGCACAGTAGTTTAACCAATCGGGGAATGTTTATTTGGGGCATATATCTTTTTTTACTACAGGTTTTGGCATATTTTAATCGAAATTATAGAAAATGGAATGTTGTTAGTAGATACAAAACAGAAAATGAAGTATACTTTTAGCAAAAGATGAATTGGATCGGGGTCCTGTGTATTCACATTATTTGTACAACTCTCATTACTGATGAGATATTTTGGAAGTTCTGTGACCTTAATGGTTCGCGAAAATTAATATTTTTATATATAGTATACGGTAAATATGGAATTAATTTGAAATTATATTGTTCACCGTCAGATGGTCACCGTCTTATCATTTTTTCACATATCCCTATTTAAGTACAAATGATCGATATAAGCTCTGAGAAAGTTTGCTTTCAATTTTAGACAAATTTAATAAGTATGAAACAAATGTCACTTGGATAAAGTGGAAGCTATTGATATGTAAAGGCTTCGAGTTGAACCATACATTGAAATACGATATGTAGCTGTCTCGCATGCAAGGACAAATATCTGTTTCATTTCCGGGTGCAGATGTGTCAAAATAAGAACACATGAAAAACTTTTCGTATTTGGTTAATTTTGCATTAATCTGTATGCACCTTCATGATAAATGGATAATAATTACTTGTTCAATTTGCACAACGATGTTTGTTATCTTTTCAAATCAAGTACTAACAGGACGGACTGCTAAAAACAATGTATGACATAATATTTCTTCATACTCCATACATCTAGGTTTTCGCTGATTTCCGAACTCAATCGAGACAGCATTGATATCATTCTCATATAAATCTGACAAGAAATGTAGGTAAGAGAGCGCTTACAAGACCGACGGACGAATGGATCGACTCTAGCAAACAAGTTCAACCCGACACGTTCTATAAGTGCCTCTCCAAAGTCAGGAGTCAGTAATTCAGTGGTTGCCGTTGGTTGCTGTTTGTCATATTTGTTTTTCGTGAATTGTTTTGTAATATTAAACCAGGCCGTTGTTTATTTTCTTTTAATTGTTTCACATTTTGCCACGGGGCCTTTCATAACTAACTACACGGTATGGGTTTTGCTCATTATTGAAAGTCGTACGGTGATCTTTAGTTCTTTAACCTAAGCAATCATACGATATCTTTTTAATATTTGAGCAGAATTCGTCAAACATGCGCTGGAAAAAATAAAGTTCCAGGTACGCCTTTAAAATTCAATGCAGTAGTTTTTGTCTCGTCTGCTGCGACGGAGTAGCAGAAGCGAAACTTAGGCGTGTTTTTTGCCGAGTCTGCGTCAACAATTTGTTGAATTTATGATTAGGTCAGTTTAAGGAGAACCACTTATGTCAAGTCAATGATATTTTGTATGCTATTGTATTAGCATCGGCACATCTCATTTCCATGGTGATTATTTACCACTCCCCCTAGATTAGCCTATTGGCTTTGACATAATTTACATTTTAAGTTTGTAATAAGTTCAGTGTAAGGGGAATAATTTGTGGCACGTCAACGGCATTTTGTATGCTGTTAAATAAGACATAGCACATCACAATTTAATGGAGATTATTTGGAATTATTTTTGTATCAGAAAAAATCACAGAAAAAATCATTTCGTCCGCAATTTCAAAGGGTATAGTTTTACATATTTTCTGACAGCATTCCACTTTTTTCAATTCTACAGGTGCTGCCTAACATTGATTGTGATCACTGTGTGATTCGAGCACGTTATAATCCTCATAAACCGGGAGAAACCACTTTCTATCAATGTGCTGATATCAAAATAAAGAAATCTAATGGGTTAACGCAAAGCCAACCAATGTCTCTTCCTCCGTTGTCACAAAGTCTCGATCCTGAGTATAGAACTGTCAGAAAGAAGATTGATGTATTGAGACACAGAAACAGGTTTGGACCGAAAATAGACAAACAATATCTCATCGGCTTATCATATAACCCATTTGACAAAGCTACAGTAAATTTGATGAACATCTCCTTAACAACAGGTTACCCTAAATACGTCGACGGATACAATTTGCTGATTATTGAATCTAAATTAAAAAACGATGTTACAAAGCATAAATCGGTTACCAGGGAAACCGAGAAGATTTTTGGTTACATCTGTGCCGCCATTGGCGCCATTAATTCAAAGGGAAATTACGTTGGACTGTTTCATGATGAACAATTGGACGATGACTTATCATTCAGCTTCATGGAAATAGGCCTACATGGGGAAAACATTGAGTTTTACCCTTTGAAAGGTCTAAATGCACCAATCAATGCCATGTTACCATATTCCAATGGTAGCTACTATACTTTCTCGATTGCAGAGGGAGCGGAGAAAGGTAGGTAGCCATTTGTTGTATAATTCTCTTGGTATTGTTGCTGATAAGAACACCTTGAATATTTATAGTATTCTCATAAAAAAAAAAACAACAATTTTCCAAAACATCTTGTAATTTTTTTCGTGAAACATGCATGGTTTAAATTGATTCATCTGCAAAAAACCTTTTGGTTATACAAGAAAACGTTGTCTGTAAGTTAATATGTCTGTCAAGTCTGACTAAGTTATTAGTCATTTGTTCTCAACTTAATTGTTTCGAACTTTTGATTAATCAAATATTTTTGATAAAGAATGATATCGTGAAATATACGCACCACCAAGGGTATGATTGTTATTCTTCTAAATCTGTCTACATTTTAACAGCAAAGATTTTATTTTCATCAAATCACCTGTCCATTGCAACTGCTTCTTACTTGCAGAAAAAATAAAATAACACTTTATCAATTTTATGCGTCCGAAGCACTTTTCTTGGTTTACCTTCACCATGAACGCTCAAAGCCGAAATTTGAAAGCCGAATGGATAAATACCAAATTAAGTTAATCAAAGAGCTATACGACAAAAGGACCTACACATTTCAGTACATTGTCTTTTTCTCTCGTTCTCAATTTTTGATACTTGCATTTGAGCAAACAATTAATCAATCGATCAATCATTCAGTCAATCAATCTTTATCCGTTAACATTTTTCTAAGAGTTATGAAACTAAGAACTTAGTGCGTGCTTATTAGATATTCCGGTTTCAAACATGAACATAGCGCATGCATAATGTATGTAAATGTTCCGCTTAATTCAGTTTCCAAGGAGCGAGTTATTAATAGAACAAAACATGACCGACCACTAAAGATTGAACAATGCGAACTCGATTAAACAACTGGGTATAGGGTAGTGTTTTAGTGTTCTGGAAGGGCTTGTGATTGACCATAGATACTTTTGTATTATTTCGTAAAATAATAAAGAATCGCTATTGTTGCACTTGCACGACCTGTTGTAAAAACTTATAGTATGTCAATGAGCAAACGAAACTTAGCAGTCCTAAACAACATTATTTTTACCAACTTTATCAATGAATTAAACAAAAAATATCAAAGACATCAATTGCATGCAACTAAATGCATTCTTAGGAAAGACCAACAGACCGTAACACAAACCTTTTTCGTGTCCATGTAGCTTTCCATTCTCAATTTTATCCTAATATCTCGTGTATTCCAATTTCTTTGAAGGAGACTATGTATTTGAAGTAGGAACATTGATATTTCATCCAGATCCTAAGGATTATGATCCTTGGTATCAGTATACACCAATGGTAAAGTCTGTGCCGGAGAATTTATATATAAACTTCCAGTGGGCAGAATATGATCCAATCAGGAACTTGATTTATGTTTTGATGGGAAATGAAAACTCACCAGATCGTTTACAGGCTAGATTATATACTTTCAGTATTTTTAATATGTACGTATTTTGCTGGTTATATTTGCACTCAAAATCTTAATATATTTATTTTAGTCCATGATGGTCTCATGAAGTTGTTTGAATAATAAATAATTTTCCCATGTCACAATTCAAATACATCATGCACACAAGCTCGCATACACACACACACACACAGTGTACGAGAGAAAAGAAATAACGCAAAAAAGAACAATACAAAAGTTTTAGTTTTATTACTATGCCATGTATAAAATCTAGGCTTTATCATAAACTGTACCATTTAAATTTGTGACAAACAATTAAAGGATATATGTTTGTATATCAACATGAAAGTAATATATGTTCAGGTAAAACAAATAATTTGTTTACTTGTTCTTACTGAATGTTTATATCCTAATGTTTATTTCGGAAGGAGGTCCGTTTGCATTTGTTTAGTGACTCGAATTCAAAAGTGTTAAACTTTGCTTCATAGTATATCAATCGATTTTGTTTTCCTGAACCACTCTAGACTAGCTGCTAATATATACGGAGAATTGGCGTGATCTAATGACATTTACAACCAGCAAAAAAATAAAATTGAAATTATTCCCATAGCAACACATCAAACAATTTTGTTTTTCAAAACTCCTATAGTAAATAATTATACCAAGTAATTCTGCTTTATTTAAAATTTTTCATTATTTCTATTTACCAGAACATTTTCGTCTGTGAGAAGCGTTCTCGAGGAATACGTGTCAAACATTAAAAAATCTATTTCTAGGTGTTTGCAGTCTATGTAATATTTTGCCACTAGATTTTCTACTGGGACCGTCTGTTTCAATTTCAGGTCAATTGCAATTACAGATATTGACGTAGATGAGTTTACATTTACATCGATGCATTTCGATAAAAGAACTGGTAAGACTCTCTAGATCTCTTTCCTTTTTTTATTTTGAACAGTCAAATTGTTTAACATTTATTATATAATAAACGGCAGTAAAATTGTGATTAAATATAAGAAGATGTGGTATGAGTGCCAATGAGACAACTCTCCATCCAAGACAAAATTCATAAAAGTAAACCATTATAGGTCAAAGTACGGTCTTCAACACGGAGCATTGGCTCATACCGAACAGCAAGCTATAAAGGGCCCCAAAAATTACTAGTGTAAAACCATTCAAACGGGAAAACCAACGGTCTAATCTATATAAAAAACGAGAAACGAGAAACACTTATGAACCACATCAACAAACGACAACTACTGAACATCAGATTCCTGACTTAGGACAGGTGCAAACAATTGCATCGGGTTTAAACGTTTTAATGGTACCAAACCTTCGCCCTTATCTGAAACAATAGTGTAACACCACAACATAGAAAGACACACTATAAAATATCAATTGAAATGGCTTAACTCAATCAAAAGACACATTAACACCAGTGAACATACACTGAACAAATAAATTTGATCTATGATACAATGCAAATACAAAATAAATAAACTAAGGGGAAAATAATTAAAGTAACATGTTATACCGCTGTGAAATGTTAAATAATTTAAGAAAAACAATATGTTTGAACAAAAATATCAGCCATTTGCAATCACTTTAAACACAGGTAAATGAAAATAATTTTGTTGTTAGGTATACGTGTACAGTTCAAAAGGAGAAAGGAAATATTTTTACAAAATAAATAACTTTGATGTTCATAGTACGGAAGTGAAAATTTATAGCAATACCAAACACTTATCAAAGCTGGTATATAGACCAGATATAACCCTGAATAACATTAAATAACAAAAAAGCATTACAATTAGTATCAACAGGTCAAATAAACAAGAAAGTATGATTTGAGAGTACTCGCAGTTACTGACAGCTAGTTAAAAGCCAAAAACAATTAATAATAAAAAATCATGCATCAAAGACTAACATCAACTAAAACACATCCCAGGGATTTAGTATTTTAACGTCATGGACAGTCAAAGAAGACATGACTTGTGCAATGCCAAAAATAAATGTATCGACAGGCAGTAGGATAGTTAGGAGTTAACCTCTTTATAGATCAAAATGAACGTGGGTGTGTCTTTATACATCCCGTTAGAAAAGAATACAAATTTAGTTATGTTTTAATTTGCTGATGACAAAATCGATATTAGTGGCAATGTAAACTATATTCAAAGATCTAATTACAACATTGGTAAGATAACCTTTACTAATAAGTTTGTTTAAAGGTTCGATGAGTTTACACGGATCACATAGTGATTTACGCGCTTTAAGTACAATATTACCGTAAAATTTAGGATGTGAAATACCTTTTTTGATCAGCCAAATTTACTAATCAAATCTTTGTATCTATAAAAGAATTTCGTAAAAGTTTTACGTAATTTATGGTAACGAAATCCCTGACTTAATAATTTGCCAGTGATGCATTGATTACGTTCGTTAAAATTTATGACATCACTACACACACGGACATAACGAACGAGTTGGGATATATAAACACCGTATGATGGAGCCAAAGGAACATCGCCGTCTAAAAAGGGAAAATTAACAATAGGGAATGAAAAGTCGTCTCTTTTGTCGTAAATTTTAGTGTGTCCAAATCTAGAAAAGGACAACTACTGCTGTTTATGTTAGATTTGGTTAAAGTAAGTTCTTTTGGGTAAATTTCGGTAGTATATTTAGAGAACTCTGGATTATTTAACGAAAAAATATATCATCTAGATAACGGAAGGTATTGTTGAATGTATCAACCAAATGTAACAATGACGTGTCTTTACTGAGTTTGGTCATAAACTGAGATTCATAGCAATGCAGGAATAAATCTGCTATTAAAGGGGCACAGTTAGTGCCCATAGGAATACCTACTACTTGTCGATACACTTTATCGCCGAAACGATTGCATGTTTAATACTATTTTACACAAGTAATGATGATCCTTAATATATCAACCAAAAAATAAACACAATATTTTCCTCATATATGCTTCACTATTATACACATTCAAACATTCATTTTCTGTAAGCAAGGCCTAATAATATCTTTACATCAATGGTGTTTTTCGATATATTATATTTCCTATTTCCACCTTCTAAATATCTTGCAGGGAAGATTTACGCTGTGTCGCCTGGGCTTTTTTATTCGACGAACGTTCAGTGGCATTTGATAGAAGTGGACCCATTCACTGGCAAATCAGAAAGTGTTTTTCAGATCGCTACATTCGGTAAGATCCTATTTATTTGTTTATTCAATTATTAAATCTTTGTATCTATCTATTTATTCATTTATTTTATTTCATATACCAATATGGCGATGGAAGTTTGCATGATTCTTTACAAAAGATATGATTTTCAGAAAGTCTTGTTCAATCACATTTTAACACGATATAATACGGAAAACTATATAGAACAACTTATTTGCATTATTCAACCTTTCTCTAATCAGTTTGAAGTAAGAACAAATGGTAGCAATGCGCTGTTTTGGAACGAAGTACTTATCACGAACATGCGTGGTGGATGTTTAATATATGATGGATATGATAGAGAACAACTTATCGGGGGAAAACATATTAATAAAATATATAATATAATCTTATTATCATAAAAGCATTCAAAACAGCCGAAGTCAGACTAAAATAAAATAACATAAAAAAATATATACAATAGATTTTACAACAATCAGTTCATCAAGTTTGACTTAGTACTTCTTAAAAATTCTTTGTAGAGAAAGAATGCATTGTAGCTTTTTTTGTAAGCTAAACTGATGAAGACGCAGTATAGACAAGTTATTGTTACTGAAATTTTCTTTTCTTTTGCAATGGAAGAGGAAATAATTGCATCATGTCATCATTACTATAGAGCAAAAACTACATATTTTTAAGATTACGGGGTACATTTTTATATATACTTATTATATCCAATTCAAATTCTGATCTGTTCCTAGTGCTCTTATACAACTTCATGGTGCTATATTGGAAACCCCAAGTCGTTAAGAACTTTCAACAAATCAAAAGCACAAAGAACTCCCGTGGCTATTCAGTTATTTTCCAGGGTTAGTTTGCTCAAAAGCTCCCTATAATTAACATCTTACGGTAAAAATGTATTTACAAGATAGCAAATCAAGTCTACCACTAGAAAAAAAATCTCCAACATTTTGAAAACAGGTTTTCAAGTGTTAACGGAGCAATAGTCAAAATGGCCATGATAGCTGCCAGCAAACATTGAACAAAGGACTTTTTACGTCCTAAAAAATTAAAGATATTATGCCATAAAAGCAGTTTTTGTATAAAGCGGGAGAGAGACATAATCAAAACTACAAATAAGTGTAAATTAAAAGCCATATAGAATAGAATGAGAATTGAGAACTGAATTTTAAAGCGGGAGGCGATATGTATACATCTACAGTCAAAATATGGAACGCACAAATTACTCGTGATAGAAGATCTTAATTTGGAATAATGCAGGCAGTCTTACATACTGAATTTCTTTCCTTCTAAATCAGTCTTTATTTCAGGGTTTATTATGGCTTTAAATCATCACCCCCCCCCCCCCCCCCCCAAAAAAAAAACCCAACAAATCAAACAAACAAACAAACAAACAAAAAACAAATGAGCACAAAAATCCAAAAAAATGAATAGAAAATACTGCAAAAATTTATTCACTTAATTCTCTAATATTTTATACAGGTTATTTTGCACGATACTATGGAGGGAGTATTTTTAATGGAATAAGTCCTGAAGGTATTCTGTATCATGTCTTTAGACTTTATGACACAGATGCTGACGTCATTGCTGCAATTGACATCGCCAAGAAAACGGTTACGTTCTCAGAAATAACAAATTTAAGAAGTGTCCATAACTTAGCTCTTGTGAACGGACCATAGAGTAATAAATTTATGTTTTTGTTTTGTAATTGATTTACATAAATATTGAAAGTTCGATCACTTCAGAGCTTTACCGCTTTTTTTATATTTTGTATATGCATATTTCCTTTATAGGTATAAAAAAGCACTTTACCGGATTATTGAGCTAGAAGTGCTTCAAATTATTGACAGTTTCATCTGGTTGTTTTAACATGTACCTTGTTATATTTGCATGCAGTTTGGGTATAAAATGTTCAGTTTCTAAACATTCAATGCATGTCTTTTATTTTTTAGGTATATATTCATGAGAAAATTAACCATCGAAACAATCTCGTGTTTCAATTAGGTGCTTTTGAAAGTTCGCTTTTAAGTAATGTTTTGTTGCGGTTTTGCATTTCTATTTGTCGAACTTTGCCGGGTTTTTTTTAAGCATATCCTGTATATATTAATGAATAATATTTGCTGATATCAAGTGACGTAAATTTACTGAAAAATCCATAAATTATAGTTAACACATTAAACCATCGAAAACTTGCTGCACTGTCTACGGGTTTCAGCGGTTTTAAAAGGATTTTCAAGATAATCGGAATTGAAAATTTTTCTTTTTTTTGTAAGAGAAATTATCAAATTATATAACCCAAAATAAACAAAAAAACAATCCCTAAGATTTAATTAAACTCTTGATGAGTTTTTGACTTGGATCAGACATTGATGTATCTATATAAGGTTTGTCAAACCGTAATCTGATAGTCATCTTTAGTGTCCCAATAAAGGTACGTGTAGATGTGTATGTACATACTGATAGCTTATTTAAAGATCATGTGACAAAAGGACATTAGAAATAAAAGTCATGCATGCAGTAAATTGAATTCAAATCAGAAGTCTGCTCGAAATTTCGATAACAAATCGTGTGAAGTAAAGAAGATTTGAGGATTGCAATGAACTATTGGCAATATTTTGTTCCATCATACAAGAATATCCCCGCAAAATGAAGCTTTTATTAAACGCTTCGCAAGTGGTCCCCATGATATAATAACTAGTCCCAATGATATAATAACTAGTTCCAATGATATAGTAACTAGTACCAGCGAGGAGATTATTGAACAAAAATTTCTTTCGCTAAAGGTCATTTACACAGGTTTTACGTAAAAGTGACACAATAGGGATATCTGTGCTTGTAGCCACTTTCGACTGTCAGTTATTATGGGCAATTTTCGTTTCAATTTCAAATTCAGATCGGATCACGTGAAGAAAGTATATATCTTCCAGTTGATACCATATTCCACAGCTTGCATTTCCTATCATGATTCCCTTGATAGAGGGTTGCTGCTTACAAGAAGCAAATTAACCAAAGTTTCATGTGGTGAAGTTGAAATCATCCCTTCAAAACGAGTTGGTTGACCGTTATGGAATATCTGTTTCAAAGATGACGACGAATATGTTCTAATTGTAACCACAATCCCATGCACTTTTTCTCGAATGTGACATACAGAATTAGTAGAAAAACAAAGGATATGGGGTATCCATCCATGACACAAAATCAGTAAATATACAGCAAAAAACAAACAATAAGCAAAGGAACAGCGCTTTTATTGCTGTTCTTCATCTCAAAGTCACAGTGACGCCTTCAACACGGAGCAAAAATAACCTCTCACCTCACTCCAAGTTTAAGACGGCCCTTAGCACTGGCTTGAGCGGAATTCTTTGCAAAACTAAATTTAGATAGACTTTGTAAGATGTATCACCACCTAATCGTGCCCGGTAAAAAAAGAACATACTGGAAAGTAGTACATATTTAAAACAAAATAGTTCCTACGCATAGGTGTAAATCTAAAACTATGTAGCATATATTTTAGTAATTAAGGTATCATATGAAAGGCGAAGGACTTGTGATCCTTGTAGAACACATATTTTACTGATAATTTTGAATAATACAAAACAATATGAGTGAATTCTAAAATTGAGGGCAATAATTGCCTAGACTTATCACCCATCCACTTTCCCTCGAATGTGACATACTGAATTAGACTGATCACCAGTTTTGTACTTGCATGAGAAATAGGACGGGTGCAACATGTGGAGCAGGATCTGCTTACCCTTCCGGAGCACCTAAGATCAACCCGGTTTTAACTGGGGCTATTGTTGCACAATCATTAATTTTCTATGTTGTGTTTTCTATACTGTTGTTGGTCTTTTAGTGGTTTCTAATTTTTGTTTTTGTTATGGCTTTATCAATTTGTCATCGACTTATGACTTATGAATATCCCTTTTGTATCTTTCGCCTCTCTTACTATTCTCCATCTTCTAGGATTACGCTTTTCTTTCTTGTCCCTTTTGTCTATATACCTCTTTGGGTATTCGGCTACTTATAGATCTTTGCTTTTCAATTATTTAAGTTTGTGCATTCCTGATGCAGGCATAGCACCATTATAAAGTGTTGTTTTCATTGTCTAGCACTGGGTCGATGTCGGTGCTTGTGGACTGCTAGTTATCATCAGCTCGGTAGTCAGGGCTTCCGTACTGACATGAATTATATCAAAGCTTGCCTTTGAGAAGGTTATATATGGATTCTGCTTCATATGAGTACAAAAACAAGTTGGTCAGTAGTGGTGCACAATTTGTACCCATTTGAATACCGACTGTTTGCTTAAATATCAATCCACCAAACTCAACAAATACGTTGTCGATGAAGAAATGATATTATTTTCGGTGTATCTGATATGAGAATCAGTGTAGTTCTTCACAAAGTAAGATTTTTCATGACCTAAAACTGCGTTTCCCATTTGTGTAGAAAAAGCTCTGCTTCATGAGAAATGTCGTCGATCTTTCAATTGAGCTTTGGGAATAAGACTGTAAAGCATAGAAAAAGCAAAGGTTTTGATATTACGGCAAAATTTTCAAGATTGTGATTGCAATATTTTGGAGTAGATCTTTAGAACTTTTAAGAATCCAAATCTGATTGACACCACTGGTTGAATAAACCAGACGACATCGCATTCCGGAATGACAACGACGAGTTTGTCGTACACGGCAGATATTCCGACATCAGTTGTTGTTACTGTGCTTATATGTCTTCCATCATTGAATAAGTAAAGCAGCATCACACAACTATTGCGGATGTATGTTTTGTTCCAGTCAATATACCTGTTGCGTTTCAGCTACCTTGTGTGTATGTGTGGTATTAAATGTTGAATTTCAGTGTTTCGGTACAGATGAACGAAAATAATTAGCTTTAAAAGGTATTCTTCCGATGAAAAAAAAAAACGATTAAGAAGACAAATCGAGTAAAAAAATAGATTAAAACGGTAATTCGCATGAACTCCAAAAGGTGCCAGAATCGGCGTGTCGACAGGGTAAGTATCTCATGCAATGCATGCACCACCCTCCATATAAATTCACACTCAATCAAAATATCACAATCTGGAATAGGACAAAATTGGTAAAATTACAGATAAGATGACCATTCTGGAATCTGAAGATCTAAGATTGCGAACACATGAAGCATGCTGAGACATAGACATGTCGTACCGGTAAACTATTTCGTGATGGTGATCGTAGAGCTTATATTGTGTCTTCCTCATAGCTCTTTTGGATCAGTTTTTATGTAATTAGCACACCCGTGCCAATGAAGTCCGTTCAGTTTGAACGCACACGAGCTTAACGTATCAGTGGAGATATTTTAATGCCATACGATTTTGTAGAGGGTATGTTACTGCTGAGAAAGGGGAATTTGACAATTGGAAAGTTGAAATCATCGCGTTTGTCATATAGTCTATAGTTTGAAGTCGTCCATGTGTCAATATTGAGGAAAAGGTCAAAATATGCAGCAGACCGTCTAATTATGGTTGTATCCTTAATACCAAGTTCACTGTGATATGAGATGCAATCACTCACAGTAATAGGGGAGAAATATGAGTGACAGGAAATCATCAATATATCTGATAGTAAAATGAAAGAACTATTGAAGATTCCTTTTTTTTTTGTCTTTGAGAAAGTTGTGTACGCATTCTTCTACATCTGATTGACACAGTTGGTCGAATCACAAAGCTTAACGTTATCGTTACCAATCATCCATGTAAATAAGGATAAGGTCAGATGAAACCTGACAGACGGACATGTACACTTCACAACCATTCGTTACACCAAGTATCGTCGATTTCTTTCTTATAGTTTCTATAAAAGGACTTCGACAACGAAAACTTAACTTTGACATATGACCAATGAAAATAAAGTCATGGTTAAATGAACCCTGCCAGACGGAATAAATACCTTACAATTATTTCATACACCAAATACAATAAACCCATTACATATACGTTTTAGTATGTTATTAATCAAATATGAGAATTTGAGTCAAATCGGTGAACATGAATTTGACAGCTAATGCCCCTTTAAGCATAAAAGACGACGATCGTTGAAAATACGAACAACACAATAGTTTAAAACTTTCTTCGATTGGACACTTTACCCACTGTGATCATGTAAAGCAAAATTATAGCCGGTTGAAATATCATTCGGCGGAAAAAATATTACAGATTATATTGTAATATTTTTTTCTGGAGGAAATCATTTCACTGTGAAATATTTTCCATTGCGATGAAACTTTTTCCGAAAAGATTTACAGAAAGTAGAAGGTGTGCAATTGTTGTTTTCAGCCAAAGTAGTCAGTTTTAAAGATTAAAATATCGAAAATAAAATAAAAAACTAAATCTTTGCAAATACTATGGACTAATAACGGAGAAATTAAATAAAAGCTAAATTAGTGAATAAAAAACCAAATAATTGTATTATAATGAGAAATAATATCCCAGATGCAAATTGAAAAATAATATCCTGAAATAATTTTTAATTAAAATATCATTCGTTTGAATGACAAATTTTCTATTTCATAATCACAATATAAAGAGGAAAACAATCATCATGAAACATATGTGACAAAACTAGAAATAATTTCACAGATCTTAATTGTGAAATAATATCCTGACCAATAAAAAATAAGGTAAGTGAAATTCAGGTACAAGTGAGTTGTTTTCAGATGTCAGTACAATTAAAAAAATAAAGATAGATATATAGTTACATTACTACAGTAATGGAGCAATCTGAGTACGATGATATTTTTAACTATTTAAAAACACAAGAATATCGCATTGGAGCAAGTGAGAATTAAAAAAAAATTAGAAACAGAGTGAAGGATTTTATGGTAAAAAAATGGACAACTGTATTATATAAAAGACTCGTCTAAAAGAATGGTACTGAAACTGTAAGTCGAATCC